TACTATTGGGTTGTCGGAAAAGTCATGACGTATTTTTTCTATGTTTTTCGTTGCAAAAATGCATCATGACTTTTCCGACAACCCAATATTTTACAATCTTTTTTCACTTGATGTACCACAAACATTTCACCAATTAGTCACCTCTTCATGGCTGCCTAATATCCCGCCACTTGGAAAATCCAGGGGTCATTTCATTAAGGTGGTTTTCTCATATGTGGCCAGTTCCTTCATTTAAACTAATGCAGCAATTGGCTGGAAGAGTATTTCAAAAGTTGTTTTGCAATAACTTCTCTCTCTCTAGGTCAGCTTTATCACATTTAAAAATATTTTTCTACCCATTAAATCGGTACTATGACCCATTCCTTATATTTCCGCCTAATTTTTTTTTAGATGTTTCCATATAAAATCACCAACACATCCTCTGAAGTGACCCTCCTCTGGTCACCCTACGTAATGCATATATATGAGAGTTTGTGCTAGGCTAAAGTCGCCTTTTTTTTGTTTGCTTTATTTTTACTTTTTTTTTGTTTTTTATTTTTTAAAATATATATTTTTAAATCCTTTGTTTCCTTTTTTTCTTCTTTTTTTTTTCCAGGCTAAATTCTAAACAAATGTTTCACAGAGCCATGGAAGAGTAATCAGATTTTTCAGGATCAAATTTCTTCCCCAAGGACACATCCAGCATGTGTTTTGTTCTCCCCAGTACGTGCCATGCTTGGTCTGTGCTTCCATGCTGAGGAGACCTGGAATCTAGGCACTGACTCTGGGTTACTGGGAAGCCACTGGGAACGCTCATCTAAAAAGAGGGACGCCCCAAACCAAACAGCTGTACTACAAGGGCAAAGAGCAGAACAATAAAAATAAACTACAGAGGAGAGAGACAGAGAGAGAAGGAAGTAAATTTTCCACAGTGAAATCTCTAGAGCTATCAAGACTGAGTGGAGAAAACAGAGGTGAAATTATAAAGCCAATCAGTGCAAGAAACCACATCACAGGAAAGAAATAAGTTGCAGAGTGACTCAAGTCCTTAGGAAAACTGACAAAAGTGGAATATGGATTACAGATGAGATAAAAATATTGTATCAATGTTAAAGCTGCCAATTTTGATGACTAGGGTGATGTAAAAGGTTATCCTTGCTCTTATGAAATACACAATGAAATGTTAAGGGGCAAAGGGCATGGTGTATGAGAGAAGGAGAAAATGTGACGAACCTTTGAAAATTGGTGAATTTGGATATAGGCTATTAGGAAGTTCTCTGTTACTATACTTGAAATTTTGAAATGTTCTGTTAGCTTGGAATTATTTCTAACTAAACAGTTAAAACTAAAAGTAAACAAGGACTATCTTATTCATCGTTCTACTTCTCTGACTTAGCAGGCCTTAAACATGCTTAGAAAAATGAAAGCTAGATGAAAAGGAGTGTGGGATTAATGGAATCCGGGACGCACGTTTTCTCCCGCTCCACTGAAGGAATTATGTTTGTATGTTTCTGAGTCATACTGGAAGCAGGTAGTCAGTCTCCTGCTGCTGTTTGCACTTGGCATAAAGGTGTGTCACCTGCAGTCTAGCCTATGACCTATGACGGCAGAGTGCTAAGGGAAGGCTTGCCCAGAGAAAAACTGACAGGCAGGGCAGGTACTGGGAGGTCAGAGCACCACTTAGATAATCGTCTTGGGTGTCACTCACCCTTCCTTCATAAGCCTCTGATGTTTTTAGAGAACAGAGCATTTAATAGCAGTAACTGTCTTTACCTTCAATTTCAGGACATAGCCACGGGGTCGCTGAGCACCCACTAAGCAAATTACCTGTACCCCACAGCACTAGGACGTGCTGTTACAATCTATTGGACGGGGTGGGTGGTAAGATGGCGAGGGCCTTCCTGATGTGCCATACCTCAGTTTTCTTCAATGGCTTGCATCTGTATAGTGCTGACTTCTAGCAATAGTACTCAAATAACTGGAAATGCCAGTTTTTTCTGTCAGTTACAGTGACAGTTTTCTCTTAAACAACATCAATTGTGACCAACCCAGTATGCTGGCTTTGTAGTAGGCTACCACTGTGGCCAATGACATCCGTGTCCAGATGATAAAATGTCTACATCTACTACTGTCCTTGCGATCGTCAAACCATGAACCATCACAGCAAGGAAAAGTAAAAAGAATTTGATTTGTGTGTTTTCAGAGACCAGAGCTTTCACAAGAATTCCCCGGACAGAAAGAAATGAGCCAGCAGGGAGGCTCTCCATGAGCTGTCCTGGTCATGTGGGTAACAGCAGTCAGATTTTCTCCTGTGGCCCAGCCCAGGGACCAGCCCGGAGCCACCATCCTCAGGCACCCTCCTGCCAAGAGCATCCCAGCCTCACCTTAGGTACTGAGCTGTGAAAGTCAGATTCCCTTTGGAAGAAGCAGGCGACTCCCATTGTAGGAGGTTCTGGAAATTAACTGAATTCATTCTGACGTTTTCAGGAGGAGGCACCATTCCTAAAGCTGTGAAAATAAAGGGGAAAAGTTTGCAACGTTTTTTTTCAGAAAGGTTGCCCAAGAAAATGATCATATCCAATACTTGGGTCTCCCCTAAGGCTCCATGTCTTCAAATGGGGACATGGGTGAGGGAGAGACAGACACATTTAGTTGTGTTGAAGAGCCTGGATTTTGCTTTAAGAGCAAGGAGAAGAAATTGTTGCAGGACAGGGGATGGAGAGCAAGAGTGGGGACAGATGAGGGTGACCTGGATTTGGGCGATGGGATCAAGGTGTGTGTGTGTGTGGGGGGAGGGGTGCAGATGGAGTTTAGATACACTTCCAGAGGTATACACTCTAGACTTTTTGTCACATTTGGTGTTGAGGATTAGAACTTAATCTCCATTCCTGGTTTAAGCACCTGATACCCTGATTTGGGCTGGGGACAGGGAAAGCAACAGTCCCATTTTATTTGCATTAGGTTTGAGATGCTGAGGAGTTATGCAAGGAATGTCAAGGGCAGCTGACAATGAGTCTGAGGCACAGGGGGCAGATGTGAGCTAGAGATAGAAATAATTTCAAAACCTTTTAATAGAAAATGTCAAACATACACAACAGCAGAGGGGCTAGTATCGAAAGCCACCACTAGCCCATCACCCAGCCAGTGCCAACAGAGGCAGAAATGTGAGTCTTGGGCCTAAGGCTGGTATTTCATGCCCAGAGGGATGGTGTAGGGGAAGGAGAGAAGCGGCTCGGTGTGAACTTGGCTGTGCAGAGATCTGGCAGAGGTGGTGGGTCTCTGGTGGAAGCAGCATGAGCGGGAGGAAGGAGAAAGGGAGGCTGTGGTACCCTGGAAGGCCAGGAACGAGTTCATCAGAAGGAAGGAAGGAGGGGTCGGCCATCATGGTTTGGGCCTGGGCAGGTAATTTACAGGCGAGCAGAAAAGGTTTCGCTGGACTTGGAACTCAGAAGCTACAACACAGCTGTGGCGTTGAGGGGGCAGAATTCAGATGTTGGGGTGCTGAGGGCTGAATGGGAGGCCCTGGAGGCGGACCAGGCACTTAGGTCACTTCCAGTGTGCCTAGGGGGGGTCTGCTCAGGGGTCACCCTGGGGGCCACTGCTGTCCGCTGTCGCAGCCGGGCCTCCCGGTTCCCAAGCGCATCTCGGGTCGGGACGCGGCGCGGATTTGGGTCCAGGTCCCCGTGCAGGCGGCCTGGCCTAGGCAGGCGTACGGCGCGGGCACGGGCGACAGTCCGGTGCCCACTCCCCGCAGACTCCTCACCTGACACCACGAGGCAACTGCCCAGCAAGCTCCGGAGGCTGCGCGCCATGACCGCGCCGGGAACCCGGGGGGGCGCTCAGGGGGTCGCCGGCGGGCGCCGGGCACACCCCCGCTTGCCCCAGTTTGCGTCACGAAACACAGGCTCGCCCAGCCCCGAGGCCGCTTCCGGGAACCGGCGGGGGCGGGGCTATCCGCCGCCCCACCCGCTCCTTCGCCTTCGCCGGTCCCCGGGTCCCCTCCTGTCGCCGCGAGCCCGGTGAGAGAGGCGGGTGGCGCGGGATGGGCCGCGGGAGACGCGGAGGAGGGANCAATGATAATACCAACATGGGCCAGTGAAGCGACGTCCTCCACAACTAGACTGAAGAACAAAAGGACAGCAACTTGTCTGTTCCCCTTCCCTGATTTCCCAACGCTGTTCCCTCCCTCAATTCCCCAATAAAAATCTTAAAAAAACAAAAAGTTTGCTATAAAACAGCATGTTATGCCAGCAGCAGCTTCACACTGCACGTCTCATGTTTACCGCATGTCTTGACTGCATCATTTTCTCTTGTGCTTGATTTAATCTCGTGTTGTTTTAGAGATTTAGTGCAGCCTAAGTGCACAGTGTTTATAAAGTCTACGGTAGTGGACAGTAACGCCCTAGGCCTTCACATTCACTCAGCACTCACTCACTGAACTTCCAGTCCCACAAGCTCCATTCATGGTAAGTGCCCTGCACAGGTGAACCATTTTTATCTTTTTTTACCGTATTACTTTACCTTTCCTATGTTTAGATACACAGATACCACAATTGCCTACAGTATTCAGTACAGTAACATGCCTGTAGCCTGGGAGCAATAAGCTATCCACATAGCCTAGGTGCGTAGTAGGCTATGCCATCTAGGTTTGTGTAGGTGAACTCGACGATGTTCATACAATGATAAAATCGCCTAATGATGCATTTCTCAGAACGCATTCCCGTCGTTTAAGCGGCATGTGATTGTGCATTAATCTTTTCAGCTCTTCTCATTAACACTGGCCCCAATTCATTCTCACCCTCAAGACACTAAAGTTATGAAGTTTATATTTAATTATCTTAGTGACTTTACGCCTATCCTTTCCTGTCTCTCCCATGAATTTCTTTAAGGCCACAGGCCCTCTTTATTATATATTCCCTAAGCTCCTTGTACCAGGCCACCCACTTTATGGGCACTCAAAGAATTGTTACTGATGAGAAAACTAATGGGATAAAACCCAAGGCATGATGATGACATTACCATCAAGTGACTTACTGTCATCCACAGGAGAGAAGGTGATGTTAATCCAGTCTGAATGCTCATCTGCAAGTTCAGCCCTGACTCGCAAGGTGTGCTCACCATATATGGAAAGATCTGAGAAATCACATTCCGTCAAGGCAGTACTTGTGCACACATCCTGGAATTCCCTAAAACTACATAATCAGAAAAAGAAACTCATGAGAGCTCTAACGCCAGCCTCTCTGAGGCTGACTGGTGCTTTATTCGCCCTGCTACCAAAGGATAATGGAAGATAATGAGAGAAAAATAAAGCAAATTCTTAATCATCAATTTTGATGAATAGTACGCATCATTGATGAGCATTTTCCACACTGTGCTCCATGGTACCTTAATGATCCTTGAGATATCATAAGACATTTCACAAATAATCTGTTCCATGGTCAAACAACGTGGGGCAAAACTGGGTTAAACATAAAGAGGTGTCTGTCTTCACAACAAAACTTCTCAGAAACTTTCATATCTTCATGAGCATGTGCCTCTCCAAAAAGGGGTTGAGTGTTCAACATATTTGACCAAGAAAGCTTCCTCTCTTCATTATGTATTTCTGAGGGCAGTGGGACATGTTTTGTGCAATAATTAACTGATATATACAGATTAGCCAAAATAAGTATATTACAATGAGTTCAAATAATGTCCTATAAATGACTATTGTTGCAATTACCCTGGAAAAGTTATAAAACAATTTATTGGCCTCAGATCTCTAGCCTTGACACCAACCACAGAAGGGAGGGTGGCAGAAACATAAAGTGGGAGAAGAAAAGGGATGTTTGCGAATGCCCATCAGGTGCATGTAACTTGACCTCCCAACAGTGTGAAGAGGTCTGATTAGCTCCAACCTGACCGAAGAAAGCTCAGGCTCTTGTCTTGCAAAAAGTGAAGATTTTGTCTGACTCGTCCCTCAGTACACTTTCCTGTCTTGGTGTCAAAGCCAATGGGGCTGTCCTTAGAGGTTACAATAAAGGTGACGGTGATAACAACATTAATAGCTAACATTTGTGAGTACTAGGTGTCAGGGTTGCTGCTAAGTGTTTTATCAGTATCATCTCACTGAATTTTCACAACCCCAGGAGGGCAGAATTGAAATCACTCCCATTTTATAGATGAGGCACAGGCATGGAGAACCTAAGAAATTGCCCAACTGAACTCAGGTCTGTTTGACTTCGGAGCCCACGGTTTTAGGTACCACACCACACCTCAGCACATTCTTAGCGAAGCCCAGAACAATCTCTTGCAGAAAGGAAGTAGAGATGATTAGGCTCATACTATTGGGTTGTCGGAAAAGTCATGACGTATTTTTTCTATGTTTTTCGTTGCAAAAATGCATCATGACTTTTCCGACAACCCAATATTTTAC